GTATTTTATAAAATACTAGACTACTAAAACACAGCCAAGACAGGTCACTTTGTAAAGACTAAAGGCCAGTTTTATATTATTGGATTTGGTAACATGAGAGCACATGTGCCATGTCATTGCAACTTCTGATTGTTAGCCAGGCAATATACTAAATATAATAAAAATGATATATATATATATATATATATAAATGTATAATGTTACAAGATTTTAAGAGATCTAAACTACCTCGACATAAATTTTAAATTACAATATGAAAAAAAAAATTATACAACAAATATTTTATTAAAAAGTAATATCTCACCTTCCCCCAAAATGATACTGAATTTTACCAGATAATGGGTCATTTTGTTGCCTACCTTGGCAACGATCAATGGGGTCAATTACTCGGCCAATGGTTTCTTCTGAATCAATGTCCTCAAAAACAACAGTTCCTGAGGGCAGACAAGTGACATTCACTGCCACCTCTTTATTCTAGAAAGGAAAGTGCAAAAAGAAAAAAGGTGCCAAAAGTTTAAAAAATAAAAGATAAGTATAAACTTGTTGCAAGAGGGAAGATATGCTTTAGTATTTCATTTCAACTATTATTTATATTCAATAAACTTTGAAATATTTAAATAAATATACCTGTTTGTATACTGATTACAATTTTTTCAACATATTGTTTATCTATCTTAGCTATTACAAAAATTTTACCAACACAAACTTTCTCATGAGCCCTTCAATTTCCATTGCTAAACCAAATGCAATTAATTTCAAAGAATATTCACATCATGGTTCTAAGAGGCAAAAACTGGAGAAATCTAATTCCTGATGAACTCGGTCAATATAAAGTCTCACAAGGTACTAATTGTTGCACAGATTTTGCTCAATTTTAAAGCTACTGCATTGAAGTTTTCTACAGCTTTACAATTATAGATATCTATTTGTGTAAAATGGTGTCAAAAACTCATAAGATGTACTTTTATAGGTGACATTTAGACTGTTCTCTTATTGGTAACCAATAATGATCCATTACTGACATTTTTGATGATTATGTAGAACATTTATAATACTAATAACTACAGTATTTTGTATATTGTTAACAACTAATAAATGCTTTAAAACAATATTAGAAAACATTATAACTATAATATATTTGAGTACATTAGAACTGTTGGGACCATTTTATTTGCAAAGGAACCTCACTGGAATGGAAAAAGTGCAACGATATCTTGCTTGTTCTTAAAGGTATGCGATAGATATATTAGCTAACTAGCTACATTATAACACACAATTCAGATAAAGCAACAACTATCTTAGTATACATCAAAAAAGAAATAGGTTTGTTGGTTTATGATAAACATGAAAGTTTTAAGTGATAATAACAGGTTAATTTACAATTAAGTATAACTGTTTTCTCAGTTTACCACAATTTTAGTATATGTAGTCCAAGTAGCTTAATGAAATAGTTAACCCTTTCTGGACTGCAGATCAACTTTCAGGTATAGAGAACACATCAGAATATCAAATTTCAAAATTTAAGTAAAAATATTATTTCTATACTATTACAACACCTTTTTCAATAAAAAATATTTTTTAATTGGTATTTTATCTTGTAATATTTATTTAGTGCAATTTGTGAAGAAAAAGTTCAAATTTACATTTAAATACAGCTCCAAGGAGTCTCATTTGTAAACAGCTCACTGATTTTTTAGAATATTTACACCTATTTCAATTAGTAGGTTTTTTTTATCTACTAGAAAACTTGAGAATATAATTAACCAAGTCTTCTCTCTCAATTTTCTTTCTGCCTGAGGTTTTATTATTACAAAGTCTTGTTCCCACACTATCACAATGTCACAGCATAAGGTCTGAACAACAACTAACAAAGTTCACCTTTAAAAACAGCTACAGGTAATGTTTGAATATCATTAGATAGTGCAGATTAGAATCTAGTTACGCCAATGTAGAGTCAATGCAAGAGGTAATTTATAGGCCCCTAGGAACAAATAAATGTAGTCCTTTCCAAATATTTTCTCTCAATTTTCTTTCTGCCCGAGGTTTTATTATTACAAGGTCTTGTTCTCACACTTTAGGATGTTACAGCATAAGGTCTGAACAACAACTAATTTTTTTATGGTTGTTACAAGGTAGACCATATCGACCAAGTTCGTGAAGTCACAGTAGAAACTTATTAGGCTAGACAAGGTTAGCTTAAGTTTGTGGAGTGATTTACAATTTGTGTGGTGAGATAATTAGTTAGACAGAGTTCAAAGGGCAATAAAACAATAAAATTAAGTATAAGCAGGTGTAGTCTGTTATGCGCTTTATAGGATAAAACAATTGTAGTTTCCTGTTACAATCTTTATGTTGGTTACAAGATCAGTCATATTGATCAAGTCCATATAGAGATAGGGTAGAGAAAATAAACAAAATCGTTTTAATGGGGAAAAAAAGAAACATTTGATATTTACTTAGGAGGTCAAATTACTTAAAAGAAACTATATTCATTAGATATAAGTTGATTACGACCAAAAATATTGTTAATAAAAATACTGTTACTCAATCTGACTTGACTGCATTTTGAAAAGTCAAGTCACAGGTCACAGATAATTCTTTTTCAACTTCTAAGGTGTCTTTACAAGTTATAGCTCGAAGTGATGACAACAACAATTGGCAAAATAAAGTGGAACATTTTGACCAGCATTGAAAAATATTAAAATCCTAATGTTTCTTTAAAACAATGTCTTACACCAAAATTGTGGAAATTTCACAACATAAAAATATAGTAAACCTAAATCAAATTATACAAATTCTTAAAAGGAAACCAGATACTATTTAACCAGCTTGTTCTAAGTTTCATGCAATTTGGTTAAGTATTTCCACTGTGAGAAAGGAAAAAATCAAAGGATATATGTAACACCCCTCTAATCCAGAAAAAGTTAATATCAGTCTCTCTTGTGATATACACCTGGAAAAAAGTTAAGCACCCCCGTGTTTTTTCAAGTGATTCAGATTCGACGTTCTTATGACTGATTATAAATTACCATTCAATCTAAACGTGTTTATCAAATGAAATTATGCATTATTGGGCACAAGAAAACGAGATTATCA